TATATGTATATATATATATATATATATATATATATATATATATATATATATATATATATATATATATATATATATATGTATATATATATATATATATATATATATATATATATATATATATATATATATATATACATATACATATATATATATATATACATATATATATATATATATATGTATATATATATATAAGCATCAAATCTGTTGTTTGTGGTCAGACACAAACACCAGAACAGTTCTAAAATGCAGAAATAACTGTCTGAAACAAATAGCAAAACAGTTTCATTAAATGGAAATATCTGCCAGACACACAGTGAGCTACACCTTCCAAAGACAGAAAAATCTGCCGGATACAGTTAAGGGTTTAAACTGGTCCTTACACTGAGGGGAGTTGTAGAAGCAATTAGTTCGTTTTGAGTAATTTCTTTATTGACAAGGATTAAATTGGGAGCATAAGTGGTACATCATTTATTCTTTTTTTTCATTAGCATTGTTTGATGTTTTTTGCTGATATTCATCCTCATCAGAATTTTTTTCACCTACCATCAATGCCAGATTTAAAAGATCTACGCCAATGGACATGCCTTGTCTGACAAATGTCTGTTTGATAACTTTATTTAGGTATCGCTTTTATCTCATAACATCAGGATTTTAAAGGTTCTAAATCTAAGTAATTGTTTTTGTCATTATGAATTTTAATCTATTGTAGTTCTCATCATTATGATGCATCTCTATTGACATTCGTTTCTTATTATCTGTATACCTATGGTATCTCCCTTATCTGTGTTCAAGTTCTTTATCTATATGCCCACATTTTCTAGTATTTTTTTGATTTTCCATAAATGTTAAATCTTGTTACTCTATTTGTTTCTTGGCATATTTGACTAAGTTGTATAAGCTCTTTAATGTTAGGTTTTCCGCAAATTATTTCTCAATACTTTTGAATCGTTTTGATCTGTTGTTAATTAAATTTTGATAATGTCCTAGAAGTAATCTATTATTTGGACGCTTATTCTGAGGTAAAAAAGAAATAAAAGATTTAAGAAGATTAGGGGGCCTCTGACATTCAGATGCAAACATGTTTCACATTTTTCAATAGTTGATTGCATCTTTGTCTCTATATGTTAGCAATTATATAAGTAATGCATAATGTTTATTTTTTAGTTAAATTTAATTTATAAACGAATTATTAAATTTAATTGATGTCATTACTAAATAATATTCTAAATAATAACTTTAGTAAATCTGAAACTATGTTTACCACTCATTTTTTCTATATATGCAATTTTTTAAAAGTAATTTATTTTAAAATGTTCAAAACTGCTGTAAAATGTTTTGCATTGCAGTGTTATTATACTATTTAACTGCATGATGCATTTTGATGAAGTAAAAAATAACAAAGAAATTTTTGAAATAATGGTTAATTGAGAAATCACCTGATTTCTACATCTAGCACTAATACTTGTCCTTAAAACAAATAAAAAAAAGTAGTTCTATCACCTTTGGTTGTAGAAAAGAATAAGATACAGTGTTAATTTTTTATTTTTATTATAAATCTTCTATTGAAATATATATTGATATACATATATATACATATATATATATATATATATATATACACTTTTTTAGTATAAAAAAAGTTGTCACCAATATTGTTTTATGCAAGGCTGTTAATGCATTTACATTTGTGATTGTTTTTGGGTTTTTTTTAGGAATATAAGTAACAATGAAATTGCTTTTATTGAAGATGGAACTTTTTCTTCAATCAAAGTAGAAATGTTAATGTAAGTTATATATGATTTTTTATATCTTTCTGTTCAACTATTTTACTTTTCTTTTTTTAATCTTTTTTGTTTTAATTTTTTTAATACATTTGTTGTTTTATTAAATGTTTTAAATTATTATGTTTACACATTAGCATTAATATTTTTTTTCCATTATTAGTCCTTTCATTGTTGTTTTTCATTGTATTTTTAATTTGTTGAATGGTTTTTTGTTTTACAAATTGTTGACTGGTTATGTATTTCTTGTATATTTTAGTTCATATTGGTATTTATAAAACAATTTTTTTATTTTTTATTTATATATATATATATATTTTATTATTGTTTGTTTTTATTTTTTTTAATTTTTATTTTTATTATTTATTTATTTATTTTTTTTTTTTTTTATTGTTATTATGGTTGAGTACTGTTTTGGTTGTATAGCTTGTCTTACTTATTTTTAAATATTCCTCTATTAATCTTTATTTTTGTCTTGACAACTGTCAAAATATGCTTTGTCTAATAAATAATTCTCCTTCATTCTAATGTACTTCATTTCTTCCCTCAGGCGTTCACTGCTCGTGTGTGACCATTCGGCGAATTTTATATGCCAAAGTTTTTAAATAAATGGTGTAATTTTTCAATAATGCGTCAACAGAAGTATATATGTATAGAAAATATAGGCATATTAAAATTTAGTTTAGGGTTTTAAATCTGAAAAACAACAAGCTTTCTCAGGTTTAAACTTAAAAAATTTTAAAAAGTGTTACCTTAAGTCTGGAAACTAGAAGGAAAATGATTTTGAGCACAGCCACTTACATGAGTATAATCTTCTGTTTGGACTAGAAATAAAGGTGATGCTTAAAGAACAAAAAAGAAGTTAACAGAAGACTTAAAAAGCTTATTTGGTTGAAAATTTACCAGCCATTGTAAGCCCCAGGATTGAACTGCCATTTTTAGGGCTTAGTGTAAAAAAAAAGATCATAAAAAAAAAAGGCTCTCAAATCCCATCAATGATACATCTTAATAAGTAAAATAAATCAGGGCTGGGATTAAAACTAAAGTAACAATTTTAAACATAAATTAACAAGTACATAAAATATTTGAAATCAAATTAAATTCTTATTTCTTGTTATGCTTTCATACGCCCTTTTTTTTGGTGCACAAGAAATAAGAAAATTTTATTAGTTATTAATTTCTTAGTTTCTATTTATTCATTTCTATTGCTTTTTTTATGTAAAAGAGCATTAAGAATTAATATAAAAAATTTGTAGTATTTTAATTTTATTATAGTTTTAATTTATATTATTATTATATAATGTATAATTATATAATTTATATTATTTTTAGTTTTATTTTGTTTTAAATTTTTTTGATTATTTGAATAACAGCCAGCAAAATTAGTTAACCACTTTTTTCACTATTACAATTTTTAACTTATATAGATCATTACACTTTTATCTAAAACTACATACTAAATTGGCTATTCTTCCTGCAAAAATGTATTAGGGAGAAAATTGTATTAGGGAGTAAAATGTATTAGGTAGGAAGTATTCTTTTTGTAAGACATGAATACTAATGTATTAATAATCAACTCTGTTAATGCTAAATGTTAGAATGTCTTTCAGGTTGTACTCAAATTAATGATTTTAAAGACTTTTTTTTCAGGGTTCCTAATAGCATTTTATTTTTATAGTATTTATTTTATTATATGATTATTTTTTTCATGTAAAAAAATATAATTGTTTGAATTATTTTTATTCTATATTTATTTTCATTATTTTATTTATTGATAATAACATTCTGACTGATCTTTGAGACAATTATATATGGGTAACACTAAGTTTTTGTTGTTGAATAAATCAATTTTTTTTTCTAGTGATTTGGAAGGCAACAAACTAACTAAAATTCCAATGACAGATTTTTGGAATAAAAAAATTTCTAGAATGTAAGTTTTAATAGTTTATAAAATATTTTGTTTCAAAACTCAAGTATTTACTTTAATGAAATATTTTTAAAAAATTTTTAAGTTTTAAAAAAAAGGTTTAAAGCTTTTAAAGGAAAATTCACTTAAAAAAATTTGACCTTTTTTTAAAAAAATTTAACTTTTCAAAAAATTTTATGTAAATAAGCTAAAATTTTTAAATTAGTTTGACATAGACATTCAGTGTATGATTTATCATAAAAATTAATAAAATGAATGGAGAAAGTAACTGGATAAATAATGACTAGTTTAACAAAGCAGGTTCAACTCAAATTATTGTACCATACTTACAAGTATGGTACAATAATAGTACAAAGATTCATCACCTTTATATAAACATACCTTTATATAAATTAAAATGTTACCTTTTCAACTTTCTGTTCAAGCTATGCTAAATTGAATTTCTAATTACCAAGCAATAAATTTTAATTTTAAAAAATTACTTCCGAAGAAATTAAATAATTTCAAAAAAATCTTCCAGTTTATTTTATCTCACTATGCAAGGTCTACATAACTTTTTTTTTTACCCTAATAAAATATTCTGAATTTTCAAAATTAATTCAAAAAACTTTAAATAAATTATTTAAGACTCTTGATTAAGTATACAACAAAAAAAAAATCTTAATTGGTTCTCTCTGTTTCTTGGACATATCAACACAAAATCTTTTTCTATGCTTTTTGTACTGCAAAATAATGAGAAATAAAATGTGTTTTTGCATCGTGTTTGAAATGAGAAAGGGCTTCATTCAATAATGCTCTAGATATAGCAACAGTATTTCATACAAGGATTAGAGAATTATAGAGATAAATAATAGAATCCAGAGAAGGAAATTAGTGAGCAGGATAAATAGGTGTAACTTTAGCAGACGCTAATTTTGAAATGGATTTGCTATTGGATGGATTTGATAAGAGTTAATCCTAGAAGACAAAGGATAGATGACTCATTGAGTATATTACCAAGATCTAAATTATTGCAATAACGATTAGTTAAAAAAAATTGGGTTTTATTTGAGTTAAAGTTTGCCAGCCATTGAGAACCCCATTAATTATTTAACTGACTAATTATTATGTAATAATATGCAAAAAAAAAAACTAAAAAAAAAAGATAACATTTTCTCCTACTGTAATGCTCCTCAGTACAATTTTGCCTATTTTGGCATAACTCAGTTTTTCATTAAAATAATGATTAAAGCATATAGATTAAAATTTTTATTGTTTTTTGTGTTTTGTATTATTATAATGTTTTTTTTTCTTTTTTTGCTAATATAATTCAAACAATAAACCACCTGCCACCTTCAAACAATAAACCACTATATTGAATAATTTTATATTATATTTTGGTATTTTGATTGTCTATATTTAAGGCTCTATTTTTTATAAATTATGGTTTTCACATAAGGCTTCATTATAAATATATAGATTAACTTTTGTGTAAAAATATCTCTTCAAACTCAAAAAGTTTTTCTTCTTTTTGGATTGTGTCAACATTATGAAGAAATTTTTTTTAATTAAAAAATTATAACATTATATACTTAGGACTTTTAATTTTAAAGATATTAATGTTTTTGTAAGACTTCTTAAATAGTTTTTTTTTGACCAAATGAAGAGTTAAACTTTTTTAAACCTAACTCAAAAAGTACTGTTTTCATTTTTATTATGTTACAAAAATTCTTTAAAGATTTACTTTTAAAGTGTAGTTTATGGAGCTAAGTAATAAAAAACACCTGACATATAAAAGATTATTGATTAAATATCTAATTAAACTACTGTTAATAGAACGTGAACCTCTCAACATGATGTTTGGTAAAGATTAATAATAATTTTAAACATTCTTGGGTTGATTCTTATTTCTTGTTATGCCTTCATACGCCCTTTTTTTAGGTGCACAAGAAATAAGAAAATTTTATTAGTTATTAATTTCTTAGTTTCTATTTATTTATTTCTATTGCTTTTTTTTTATGTAAAAGTGCATTAAGAATTAATAGAAAAAATTTGTAGTATTTTAATTTTATTATAGTTTTTATTTATATTATTATTATATAATATGTAATTATATAATTTATATTATTTTTAGTTTTATTTTGTTTTAAATTTCTTTAATAATTTGAATAACAGCCTCAGACTCATATTCAGAATAACAGCCAGCAAAATTAGTTAACCATTTTTTTCACTATTACAATTTTTAACTTATATAGATTATTACACTTTTATTAACTGAAAGCCATTGAAAAAAAGCCATTGAAAAAAATGCAGTATCAGTTGGAGAAAACATCAATCAAGATTTTCAAAAAATTATCAATAGTTTCTCAGAAAAGGTAAATTTAAATAGAGAAATTTCGTCTTTCATGAAATTATTCCTTTCAGAACAGTTAAAATATTTAACAGAACATCCATCTCAAACACGATACCATCCAATGATAATAAAATACTCTTTAGCTTTGTGTGCAAAATCCCCAGCTCCATATGATCTTCTGCGTTTACAAAAAGATTCTTGTACGAAGTAAAAGTTTTTAATTAATGCAGTGACTCAAAAAAACGATGATAAAATAGTATTACTTAATATTTAAAGATCAGCTTGATTTTGTTTCAGTAAACATATACTTCAAACAGTGTCATGTCCAAATATTGAAGAGAATAAAATATAGCTATTAATAAGCTAAAAGGTAATCAAGAACTGAAAAACCAAAACCAAGAAAAACTCCTGTTTTGAAATTGAGTGTCAAGAAATCGGTATACTTAGGATGATGGGACTTTCCTGTTTATAAACCAAACTTAATTACCTCTCTGACAACTTATGAAATCAGTTTTTATCAAAACCTAAGATCCTCTCAAAATATTAACAAGAAATTTTTGATAAAGTTGTTATGGCATCTTTATTATTTTTATTTAGTATTTTTTAGGTATTTAGTAAACAATTAAAAAAATATTTTTAGAGTTTATCTCACTTTAATAAAATATGTAAACATTTTATATATCACTTAAATATGATAGTTTGCTAAACTCGAAGTACACAACTTTAAAAAATATTCTAAGTATGCATCCAACTTAAAAAAAAACTGTTTTTGAACTTTATTTGTGTTTTTAAGACATATTACTCAATACAAAAAATGTCTTCATATAAACAATATTTTATAACTATCATTAAACTTTATACTTTTAACATTTAAATACTAAAAACTTTGTATTATTATTAAAAAAAATCAAACCAAATTTAAAATTTCAATTTTAAATTTGGTTTTATTTTAGAACCAATTTTAAACCAGAGTATGGTTTTATTTTAAAGCCAGATTTTCCTTAATCTTTACGGCTCTTTATTTTCCCTTTTTTTTATGGTCAAACCAATACACCTTAAGTTGTACAATCTAAGGATCTCAAAGTAACAGAAAAGCTATAAAAACTAGTACTAATGTTTTCATTATTAGTTTATAAGTTTAAAGTAAAATTAATCAATCTTATATATTGTGACTATTACTGGGTTGTACATTAGGAAATTGTAAGAAACTAATTTTAATTATTAAAACTAATTTATTATAATAATATAAATAATAATATTAATAATAATTATAAAAATAATAACAATAAATATAAATATAAAAATGGGAAATTAATTTGTATTGATTTATTGTGTGTTGAATTATTTGTATTGATTTATTGTGTTTTTGTATTAATAGAGTGTGTTGATTTAAATTTATTAAACTTAAAAAATTCAACTTAATTTGAAAGTTAAAATAGTTAATAAAATTCTTTTATTTTATTTGGTTCATCAAATTAGGATACCATGTCAAATTTCAAAAAGTTTAACAGCAAAACCCCTATATAGAAACATTTTCTACGCAACAAAGAAAGTGAAATAGCAATGTGTTAACTAAGCCATTGCAAAAAAATCTTGAAAATTACTGGTGGATCAGCAAAAGCTTTTTATTTACTTCAGTTATGTAAATATAAATTTACAATATATATAAATTTAAAAGCAGAACTGGGTCATTCTCTGATGTAGGAAGAAGAACAATAAGAAAAAGTAAACCTAGTTCATATTTTTCATCAAATATGAATAATAGACGTTTATCAAAGGCTTGTAAGATTAACAGCTAAAGATGGGATTTCTTTTTTCTCACTTTTGTTGATATGCATGCTGGGCTGGCTATGAGGCGATTTGTCAACATACCTAAATCTCCAAACACTGTTAAAAAAAAAGTACTAGATTTCTTTAACAATATAAAGAATGTTATAAAAAATGAGTTGAGAAAAAAAAATAACAGAGGAACTGAATTTTCAATTTTTTTTTAATGACTGTATGTCAATTTGAAATACCTGTTATTTGAATATCAGTTTACATGATAGAGACAATTTTTGGGATTTCGGTTTAGTAAGAATTGTAGGGACAATGCCAACTGAAAAGTGTGTAATATTACTTAAAGAAAAGCTTGAAAATAGTATAGTGTACATGATGACAGATGGAGCCAGCATAATGAAGAAAATTGGAAACTATTACTGATTAATCAACAGCTATACTTTGCTCATGGTATTCAACTGGCTATTATTTCAGTTTAATATAATATGTCAGCACCAATTTGTATGCAGAGAAATTTAGTCAAGGAAGTTGACAATCACATTGAAAATAAGAAAATTGAATCTGAATTTAGTGAAAGCATTGAATCAGATTGCAATAATGATAGTGATGAGAGTTGCTTTATAGTAGATAATCAAATGCAAGATGAAGATGTAATAATTACAAACAAAGCAATTGATCCTGTGATTAATTAGAAAGTTAGAAAAATTGCGATGGTTTTTAAAAGATCATCAACCAAAAATGATGAATGTTTTTCAAAGATATGTAAAAAATTTCTTTAGAAAAAATCTTCATTTAATCAAAGATTGTAAACAAGATGGAGCAGCTTACTATCAATGCTTGAACGATTTCATATGTTAAAAAATTGCATAAAAAAGGCACTTATTGATATCAGTTTTAATGATTCTATTAAAATGTTAGATAATGAGTATAAAGTTGTTTCAGAACTAGTGAACTAGCTAATTCTAGTAAAAGCAGCAGTGGAAGTGCTTGTCAACTTAATGCAAACCTTATAACTGTTGACATTGCATTAGAGTTTATGCTAACTAAAATAAAAGAACTGAATACTGCAACAAGTTGTCAACTTTCTAATGCATTAGCCTCCAGAATCAAAGACCAAAGGACTGAATTAAGTAGTTTACTGTACTATCTACATTACGAAGAAAACAAATTAATACCCATAGGTAAAGTTTTTGAAAACATCTTCAAATTTTAAAAATAAGACAAAATGATGTTGAAGCTTTTAAATCTAAAATTAAATCTAACAAATTTAAATCACCCTTCGAATTCCTTGGACAATAGTTAAGATGGTGAAATACCGAAAAGCACAGATAACAGATTGCCAAAAACTAATAGTGAGCAACTAAATGAAGACCTAGAAAAATAGTTTTCTAGCAACACCCAGTAATTCTTTGTTAAGATTAGGCAAAACTCTTATTTTCTAATTATCAAAAGAAATAATTATTTGAAAGCGGTTGTGCTTGAGGTGATACTCAATAGTCTTCAGAAAGTTTGTTTTTTTAATAGTAATTAAACCAAAGAGCATGAAGTTGTTTTTCTCCACAGGACTATTTTGCAGCAAAATAAGAAGGCGCTTAAGTTATAATAAAGATTGAGCTTTCTGGGAGATTTTCTAAAGACAAAATAAATTACTTTATGTTTTATTAATTTTACTGCAATATACTAATTAAGTTATGGCTTTTCTTTTAGTTTTTAAACATAAAATAATGCTGGGATTTCCTGGACCTTGACTCTAATATATATGTATATAAATTTGAAAAAATAATTTTTCTTGATGTTAATGGCTGAGAAGGTAATAATAGAGTAGGCTACTTTAATTGTGGTTAAAACCGTCTCTTGACTCTATAACTCCAAAACATGTACTTTAGCAAACAAGGTCGCTGAGTGGAAAAGCAAGTTCTTTGCAAAAGAACTAATTTTTGAAATCAAGTTTTAATGTTAATTTTTTTTAAACCAAAATTAATAGTAATCAAATTTTTTTCATTGCGTATTTTTTATTTTAATTTTTTTTCTCAGCAGTCCTATTTATATTTTACAGCTATTCAATCAGTTCATTTCATTTTTAGTTATTATTTTTAATTGGTTTTAATTTCTGTATTTTAGAATTTATTTCATGTGAATTATTTTTGTAAATTTTTTGAATTAACTTTAATGTTGTTATTTATGTTACAATTTACTAATAATTCTCATAGTAATTTAAGAGGTAATCAGTTGACAAAGATTCAATCAAATGCCTTTGTTAACATTTCAGGAGGACCTAACTCAGAAATGTAAGTTTTTATTTAATATTTATTGTACTTTCAACAGTCTTACATATAAATGCATTTAACAGTATTTAAGCTGAAATGTAAAAAGCAATTATAAAATATTTATTTAAAATTGTATAATAATTTCTATTTTCAGAATTTTGCATGGAAATCGAATTGATAAAGTTGAATCATTTGGTTTCAACAATGTTCAATGTGATTATATGTAAGATTTTAGTTGAATTGTTTTTACTATGTAAGTCATGTTTTTACTATTCAATATTAATAACTATTTATTATTATTATAAATATTATTACTTTTATAAAATATGATGCTTAAATATTTTAGGTTATATTTAAGCATTGTATTTTAACACAAGATTTCGACAGATGATTTTTAATTTGGGCAAGCAAAAATTATGTTTGATTAATACGATGGATTGGTACTTAAACATAAGTTGAGAGATTTTACACTTTTTACTAACATTATCAGACTTATAAAACACACAATCAACACACAAAAAAAATAAAAGTGGCAATAAAATAGCTAATATATTGGAGTTCTAAATAAAATAAAAATATTTAAAAACATAATAAAATATATAGTATATTAAAAAATATTGAAATATCTTGTATATTAAAATTCTTCAAATTTTTTTAAACTCACTAGAATTCTTCAAATTCACAGAATACTGTGAATACCTTTCTAACTGACAATGCAAATATTGCCAGAGCTCGCATTGAACAGCGCACTTCATTTGAAACCTTCTACTGCCACTGCCACTGGGCCACTGCTGCTTTAACAATTGTAATTAAAAAATTTTTTTATAAAAAAGACAAAATACTTGCAACACAAAAAGAAAAAAAGAATAAAACCTTATTATTATGGTTATTTTAATTAGTATTTTAACAATTTTAATTATTTTAGATTTATTTAGCAATAAATAGTATTTAGCATTGAAAAAAATTCTATTTTTTGTTATTGTTATTATTATTATTCTTATTGTTATTATTATTATTATTATTATTTTAATTAGTATAAGTGTAAATATTTTTTACATTTTAGAAGACTTGGTGGAAAAGATTTTCCAAACAGACTCAAAATTTTAGAAGAAAATGCTTATTACAATATAGATATATTCAATGTGTATGTGGATTTTTTTTGTTTTGTAATTTTTTTAGTGTAATTCAAACTTCTTTGCACTGCAGGTGTTGACTTGGTATATTTTATAATTTTTTCAAATGTTGTAAACTTTTTTGAACAGTAAAAAAAGAGTAAAAAAAGGTAAAAAAAGTGCAACTATTCTTAGTTTACTTTCTATAAGTTCTGCAAATTCTAGTTGGATAAAAATTTATCCAAACTGAATCCACGGTCATCAAACTTTTTTATCAGCCAAAATTAATGAATTATTTTTTCCAAGAATAAATATTTTCTTTGTCTATCAACGCAACAGAAACAAATTCGCCTCCTAATTAATCCTAAAAATAAACAAAATTTTAAGATCATTTTGTAGTTTTTCCATTCGTCATCATATTCTTCCATTGAAATTTATTTTCCAAAAGAAATAAGAAAGAAAGAAATAATATTATAATAATAATAATTTTCTATATTTAATAATACTTTGTGGACAATTTCAAATTCATTATATATATATATATATATATATATATATATATATATATATATATATATATATATATATATATATATATATATATATATATATATATATATATATATATATACATAAATAACACAGTTGTCCAAAAAGGGATCCTAACCTCTTCGGAAATGACCCAAAAAATCTGTAATTTTAATTTTTGCTTCAAATTAGATGGGTGATTCTATAGGTAATAGGGAACACTTTGAAGAAAAAATTGAAATCTTTTAATTACGTCTGGAGGAGAAAATTTTAAAGTTTCGGCCTAAATGCATCAAAAACCTTTATTTTAAAAAAGTGTTTGCACAGCGAAAAGTTCAAAAAAAATAGTTGCTGGTTGTACTTTGCAGAATGTTCTGGCAGAACTTTTAATGATTTTACTCCACTAGCTCAACCAAGTTTGACAGTACCTCCTGGAGAGGCATTTTTTTTAGAGATTAAATCAGCTGCTATTTGATTAGCACACTTATGGTCCTCTTCAGCTAGTTTCTGTACATTTTTCCGCCTTGAACCTATAGTACAAAAGTGTGGATGTCCTTTCATAAGTACTGACAAACAAATACTGCAAATATAAAAAATCTTTTATCAGCTGGCTGTGACGATGAAGGTTTGAGACTGAAAGCTTTGATATGGTCAGTTTGAGCGTTGACTTTTGTTTTTTGATTCAATATATCAAGCTCAATCTGTAAAAGATTTTCTTTGAGCTTTAATTTGGCCACTCTACAAATTATACACTGGGAAGCACCAGAATATCTTGTAGATGGCTTAATGATAATTAAATTGAAATAGTACAACACTGGTATCTGTCCAACAATACTAACAGTATCAAGTTGTTTTACTTAGCTTCTACATGAATTGAAAATGAAAATTAATATTACACTTAAAAATATTCTTGACTTTTTCAATCAAAAAATCAGTTAATATGCGATCACTTTTCTTTACACACAATAAGCAAATAGATTTTCTGCAATCACTATGAGTTTTTGCTGAATTAGACATTTTTTGAAAAAGACAAATAAATTTTTAACAGAAATGTCAATTTATTTGTTTACATTATCTGAGCGGCAAAAATTTTGCGCTAACATATTTCAAATTTATTGTTTTAAATTTGAATTTTTAACAAAGAAGGAAAAAAAAGTTGAACAATAAGCTGATACAATGTTTAGAGATATTTGCAACATTTAAGACAAAACAAAAGGTTTTTTAGTGCCTTTTAGCAGTGAAAATGCGTTTTGAAAATTAAATTTTTTAGTGCAAATTAGGTAAAAACTTAAAATGCAATTTTCTCCTGCGGACATAAAGGATATTAATTTTTGTTTCTAAGTGATCACCATAATCTATAGAATCACCCATCTAAGAGATTTTTTAGGTCATTTCCAAAGAGGTTAGGACCCATTTTTGGACAACTGTGATAATACTAATAATAAAATAGGAAATGCTGTTGTTGCAAACGATTAAAAACCTGAATTTTTAAATGCTCTTGCTCGATATTTAAGTGGAGGGTGTTTGAGGGTGTTTGAGGGTGTACAAGTTTACAAAGATGTCAGAAAATATCACTTGGAGCCATTTCAAACATCAAATACACTAATTATCACATTAAAAGAACTGCATTTTTTAATCAAAGATTTGCTATCAGAAGGATATGATACATTTTAACCAGCAAATTTCAAACTGATCCTTTTGAAAAATATTTTGGGAAACTTAGGCAGATGGGTGGTGGAAAATTTCAAGTTAGTTTGCCTGAAGTTGAAAGTTTTGAAAAAATAATCAGCATAAAATCTCTAATTAAAGATGCCTTTAAAAGTATAGTTTAATAATAAAGTACAAATAAATAATGAAGCAAAAGAATGAGAAACAGCTTCATTTTTATTCCAAAGTGAAATAGAAGAATATGGTTTATGTAAAAATGAAATAGAAGAATATAGTTTATATAAAAATAAAATAAAAGAGTACGATTTATGTAAAAATGAAATTGAAGAATATGATTTATATAAAAATGAAATTGAAGAATATGATTTATGTAAAAATAAAATTGAAGAATATAGTTTATGTAAAATTTCAAATGAAGTAACTAATGTTTGTGGGTATAGAACAAAAAAAAAAAAATTTTCTCTTAAGTCATAATCTTCTTCAAACAAAATACTTTCATTTTATATAAAAAAAACTCTTACATAGAAGTTTAACAGAACTAAGTGTAAACATTGTAGAATATGTTTGTTTTGCATATTAGACCACACATAGGGCTTACTATTAACCAAATATACTATCAAACTGAAAAGTTCAGTTTGATAGTATATTTGGTTCAGTTTGCCACTTAAAGTTGAACTTCAAAAATAACATTTTTTATTTGTGTCCTGACCATTTAGAAACAGTAAGACTGTATGTTACCACAACTTTTATAATTATATTTTATACTTATGAAAATCATTTCAAATTGGAAAAGATCAAAAAAATGAAGTAAAAACCTTTAAAAATTAACACCACAAAAAATAAACTTACCTTTATATTTATTTATAGTTTGCTATACTACTATAATATGGAATACTGTTTGGATTCTGGGTTTAATTTTTGTTTTGCTTTGCTTATCCATAGCTGTTAATTTTTTTCTGAAGCTTGTTTAAGGTGGGCTATGTTTTGCCATACATTGAATTTTTTGTTAAAAACTATTTTATTTTTTTGATAGGTTATGCTTTTAGTTGTTTTCTTATTTTTGCTTATATATATTATATTTTTCTCTAGTTATATACTTTATTGAAATATTTTTTAGCTTTAATATTTGGATAATATTAGTTTTTGTCATTTATCTTATGTAGTTAATTTGTAAAAACTGGCCTACTGTTTTTCGAACTTATAAGCAACAAGTCTGGTCATGTATTTAAGTAGGTCATGGTTGTAATAATATTGTCCAGAACCATATAGTATCTTGTTAAAAATGTATTCCTAAGGTCTTTGATTTCTAAACAAAAATTTTTTGAGTAAGCATAAAATTTCTGTTGAGTTTTAAATTTTTTTTTTTATCTTTGGATTGGTTGGTGTAAGTGTAAACCTGCATTGCTTTTATCTTGCTTAAGATGGTAAAAGCATGAATGATGTCCTTGTTAGTGATATTGGTGTGTGCAGTGGCGGATTAAGACTTCTTGGGGCCTGGAGCTGTTCTTGTTTTTGGAGGCCTTTTTATGGGCCAGAGCCTAAAAATGACGTAAAAAAAAAAAAAAAAAAAAGTCCTCTAAAATTTTTGGGGCCCCTACATTTGCAGGGCCCGGGGCTATAGTCCCCCTATCCCAAAAACACACTTGACTTAAATATATACTTAAGTATCAGTTTCTTTGGATTACTATTTTTGATAGTTTAGCATGCTGGTCTCTTCCATAAGCTTTCTTTATATGGTAATCTCTTTAAATTTTAAAAAAATATTCAAGTATTTTTTTTAATTTAATAATATTATCCTTCATTTCCACTAACCTGTGAGTACAAAAAGGTTGTATGTTTGGTTCGATGATATTTATTTTCTATATTGTTAATTAAAAAAAAAAAAAAAGTTTTATTAAATGATAAAACTGGTCTAAATCTGGATTTAGGAGTTTTTAAATTTTTATTTTTGTCTCCGAAAATTTCTTTATATTTTCTTTTTTTTATTTTTTTATTTATTTTTTATTTATTTGAGTTTTCATGCTATATTTTTCTATACAATGTTCTTATATCCGAAAATATTGTTGGCTTAGCATAGGAACAGCCACAAATAGTCATTAAGACTAATCCAAAGTAGCGTCCATTATTGACCAACATTTTTGCGTACCAAAGTACTACTCAAGCGCTGAGTTGGCGGTGGCGGGATTTTAACTTGTATCATTTAACAGTCCATGTTTTAACTTTTCCTTTAACGCTCTAACCATCTGAGCTATCCTGCCATGAATATATAGCATATATTATAGCAGAAAAAGTTTTATAAGTTTTTTTGTATTTTTCAAAAATTTCTACAAAAACTCAAATTTATTTTCTGCAAAAATTTACACATTTCAATAAGACAACAAGTTGTCTTTTTAAAAATTTTTGAAATGTTACTATATTATTGATATAAATTTTTATAGTATTTATTACAATTTCATTACAATATTTATTACAATACTTTAGTATATTCTTAAATGACTATAGTATTTTTTCAAATAGCGATTTGAGTTACACTCGAGTTACAGATATTCCTTATAATGCCATCCAAGTGAAAAAACTTAGAGGAAACTTGTAGGTTTAAAGTTTTTAAATGTTAATTAAAATCAAAAAAAAAAGTTTTTAAATATTAATTATATCAATATGAGTATTTTTTTTTAAATTTTAAAACAGGTATCTCAATAATGGTTTCCTATCAACTCTTAGTAAAGGCGCTCTCAATATTGGAAATGTTGGTGGTGGTGAAATGTAAGTGCTTTTATTTAGATAAAAAGCTATTTTTAATTGTAGGAATTGGCGATTGAATTAGCAATTAAAAAGTTGTTAAAAACATAATGATTAAAATTTATGAAGATTGTTATTGTTGTTGGCAAAATGATTGACAAAATACAAGCTTCTTAAGTTAGTTTAAGATTTTTGGGTTAACAGAGAATTTCTACTGACTAATCTTCAATCCATTTTTCAACTAGCAGAGTGGTATATTTTATTTCTTCTAGGATGAACACTAGATCATCTTGACTCTTTACCTCTTTGCTTACTCTTATCTTTACCACTGTGGTAGTAACTATGCAACATTTGTTGTTGCATAGTTAATGATGTTACATCTCCAAATGATGGCACTGTCACAACGATGAATTAACAATGTCACAACAATGTTACATCTCCAAAAGATGGTACAGCTTAAGACTAAAATTTAGTTTAATTTTTTTGAGATGATAGTAAGATTTTTTATACTCTGCCCAGCATTTTTATTTAAAAACTTTATTTATTATTTATTTTTGTAGTAAATTTACAGTGGACTTATATAGGCATTTTGAGTGGTCCTTTAGAGTTTTGCTTATCATTTATTTAGCAAACCATTAGTGCCCTCTGCTTAAGTGGCCAGTCAAAAATTTTTAACATGTTATATTTTAACTACTCAATGTCTAGCGACTTTTAACTGTTGCCATTAATGGTTCACTAAGTAATTGATGAGCAAAACTACATTGGACTGCTCGAAATGTCTATAGAGGCCAACTAAAATTCTGTTATAGAATGTTTGCTGAGTGTTATAGTCCTCAGAGGGTCTGAAATTCCCATTGCCGTGTTGTGCATGGATAAGGACTTTGTTATTGCTTATAGTGTGAATTGTTTAAGCCACAAAAGAAGTCTTTTGTTATAAATTTAGGATAATTAGAAAAATAACTTTTGCATGGGTTGCAAAGTATTATTAAATACTTTGCAACCCATGCAATAGTTACAAGTAATACGGTGAATTCAATTTTTTCCACTTAATCATCTATCGATTCTTTATACTTATTAATCCAGAGTTTTAATGCTTCCATCCCAAGATTATGTGGAATACTGGTATAGAGGTTAATGAGGTCACATGTTATTATACGACTTTCAGATTGAATCTTTTTCAGAATTTTTCTGAGGAAATCTCTTTTATCTTCAACAAATGTAAAAAATGTAATTTATTGACTTAAATTTTCATCAAGTAAAAAACAAGTGGTCTTTGAAGTAAATTTTCTTTGTTGAGTCTTATCTCTTTCAAATTTCACCAGACCAATTTGCTCTTTGTGAGAACAATTTTAGTTCAGCTGTCTGATCATGTGATCTTAGTGTTAATGGTTATCTTCCTTTAATTTGTAAAGACTCTAATAGTCAAATGCTTGGCCTGGGCATTTACATTCGTAAGAATTCACCCATTTGTCAAGAAACTAGGTTTGAATCCACAGACTATTCTTTTATGTGCTTTTGTTTAGCACCTCTTCACTCTATCGCATTTCTCTTTGTTCTATTTTGCTCTCCTTCATCTCAAGACTGCATTCTTTTTTTTTCTTTAAATAAACCAAATAAACCAAAGTCTTTTTCTTTATCCATCAGCCAATATTGTTGTTGGTGAATTAAATGTTCATCACACTGAATAGCTTGGTTCTAGTGTCAGTGACTCTGCTGGCATTAAGGCCCCCAACTTTTGCCTTTATCAATCTCTAACTCAAATAGTCAATTCATTTTCCAGACAATCTGAATCGATCACTTTCTCTACTCAGCCTATGTCTTGTTTCTGATCTTAGTCAGTGCTTAGTTTCTCCATATTCACCCTTAGGTGTTTCTGATCATGGTTTGATCTCTCTAAAGCTATTATCTCATTCTTTTTCATCATCAAAATCCCTTTATTATCCTACCTCTTACAACTACCTTGAATTCGTATCACTCCAGCTGCTGTATAAAAAGTGAATTCCTGCTTAGACTCTTCTACAGCTTGTGGTCCAGACAACAAACCTTTTGCATCTCCGGAGAACATTTCTGTTCTCGGAGCTGTTATTTATACTTTCAAAACTATTTAACAAGTGCTTATCAAAGTTATATATTCCAACATGCTAGAATGCAGCATCTGTTATCCCTATTTTCTGGAGAACGAACTGACTCATCTAACTACTTCTAGTCTTCTTTCTATTATAAGCAAGGTTTGTTAACAAACACTTAATCTCTCATCTTGAATCTAATAACTTACTTTCTCATAATCAATATAGATTTTGATCTTCTCATTCTACTGCCGATTTGCTAACAATCGTTTTACTCACCAATAGGTTTTATTGATGGCATTAGATGGAGGTTAAGATTATTGCTCTTAACATTTTTAAAGCTTTTGATAAAGTGGTAATATCTTTAAGATTATTGAGTCCTTCCTTTTCAATATAATATAAAAATTGTCCTCAATGGACAGCACTTTTCTTCACATCCTGTTACTTCAGGAGTTTCTCAAGGTTTAATCCTCGGCCCTATACTAATATTAACGATCTTCCAGATATTCTTATATCTTAGGTGGCATTGTTTGCTGATGACACTACCATTTATTCTTGTTATGAAAAGAAGCTAACACTCTCTGATTGCTTGGAAATGGTATTTGAGCTTGAAAAGGATCTCACTTCTACTGCACCATGGGGATCATAGTGGCTGGTGAATTTTAATTTAAATAAAACTCAATTTGTTTCAGCCAATCGTTATTGCAATAATTTAGATCTTCCTATATTTATGATTGGTAATGTACTTGATGAGTCATTTACTCTTCATCTTCTAGGTTTAACTCTTTATTCAGTCTTTCTTGGAAACCGTATATCAAATTCATAGCAAAATTAACATCTGCTAAAGTTGCATCTCTTTATCAAGCTTGACGCTTTCTTACTCTGGATTCTATTCTTTATCTTTATAAATCTCAAATCTGTCCTTGTAATACTGTTGCCATATCTGGGGCGGATCTTCTAATGATGTCCTTTCTCTTTTAGACAAGGTGCAAAAACGTAAGGTATAGTTGTAAAGATAGTTGGACCTGATCTTGCAGCCAACCTCCAATCATTATCACATCATCTTAATGTTGCCTTTCTTTCTCTTTTCTACAAATACTATAATGGGTACTGCTCTAAAGAGCTAGTGTCTCCTGTGCTATTTACTAAAATTCACTCTTGTGTTACTCGTCATTCAGTTAAGTCTCATCCTTTTTCTGTGACTGTTTCTAAGTGCCCAAAAACTCTTATTCATTTAGTTTTTTTCCTCATACATCAGTTCTTTGTAATTTGTTTCCTTCATATTGCTTTTCTGATTCATGTAATTTGCAATCTTCTGTCAAATTGCAATTATCTGCCAATCATTATCATACTCTGCAAACTTGATCTTTTCTTTTACAGTAACTTTTAACTCTTATAGTAATTGCCTGCAGTTTGGAAGTGAAGAATGAAAATAAAACTTATAATTTAAGATTACGTATAAAGGGACATATTATCTACTAATACATTTAACAACCATGTTTATACCTGTCAAGCATAAAAGTATCTTTGAACCTTTTTTCCAATTATTTGTTTTCCTTGAACTCAACAATGAGAGTTTTTTACTATCTTTTGAAAAGCATTTACATAATCAAAAGCATGATAAAATTAATTGGTATTTCCTGTATTAAAATAAAATTTATCAATTACAATAGTTGCTCATAGCAACCAGGAAAGGGAGGATGGGGCAAGTTGACAGTAGAGGTAAGTTGACAAGTTTTATTTAACTTCATCAAAAGTCTTTCATCGAAAGTGCAAATAAATTTATAGATCTTTTCTAATTGATCATTTCATCTTCCATTGAAGTATTTTAAAGATTTCCACATGCTTATAGGAGATATTGGAATTTAAAAAAATTAGGTTGCTCATTGAAAAAAATCAGGTTGTTTATTTAAAAAAAATCAGGTTATTTATTTAAAAGAATCAGGTTGTTCAAAAAACAGGTTGTTTATTGAAATAAATCAGGCTGTTTATTGAAAAAATTGGCTTGTTTGATGAAAATAATCAAAATGTTTACTAAAAAAAAGGCTATTTGGACAAATTGGGGCTTTTTATGGGTCAAGTTGTCTCATCTATTACTTACAAAATAGTCATTTAATAGTTTGCTCCGAATTGCCCTGGGGAGGGGTAAGTTTTTTTTTTTTTTTTTTTTTTTTTTATGGCTCAAAAATAGATTTTTTATTTTGAATGCAAATTGAAAATGTTCATAAACTCATATTCTTCAAGACTTTATTTTTTATTATTTCAAGACTACACTTTATTATTTACAAAATAATGTGACATTAGGACTACAGAGCTCAATGATTATGATTTAAATATAACTGTCATAACATTTTTTTCTGCAGATTCTTACACTTTTTTTTTAAATTTCAGAACAGTTAGGCACATTTTGTGATTTGAAAGCTTAAAAAATATATTTATTTCGAACTTTTAAAACAAAACTATGAGAAAATACATATCTTTTGTGCGTTCATTTACAAGTTTTTTGCTATTGAATTGTAGTTTTCAGATTTTCCATAATATTTGTGGAAATATTGTTTCTAACGCCTTCTTCTTTTGTCATTTTCAAAACTTAATTTAAGTTAAATGAGGAACTTGAACATTTTTTTTTTGAAATAATTACATGTTGCCAACAAAATAGAAAAACATATAAAATGTGGTTGTATTATTATATTTAAAATATATTGTTACAACCACAGAAAACAAAATTAGATATTTACTCTTTCACATTTATTTTGTGTACACATTTTAGGTGAGGCAAAACCCCTTCTCTCCTTTCTATTTCTCACTGTTATATATGCCTTTTCATTTCTCATTCTTTCTTCATACATTTAGAGACCTCAGTGTAACAAAAATTAGAGAACTACGTTTTCAAATATTTACAGAAGGAACATCTTTCAATAATTTGTAAGATTTGTTTTTATTTATTAGTTAATAAATAATTAGTATTATTTAATAAGTAATAATTATTAGTAATAATGTAGTTATATGAATATAGATATACTTATTATACTAATAATGTATACATACATGTAAATATGTATATATAAATAAATAATAATAGTATGATAACATAAAGTTAAAGTTTTACAAAAATCAATAACATCAAGTCCATTATTTATTGTTGTTTACTAAAGGAAATTATTTTCTGCCGGGTTGGTTTCAATTAGTGATGACGCATTTGTAGGTGCAGAGATGTCAGGAACTTTGTGAGTTGATTTTTATTTGCTGTTTGAAAAGTTTTTTAAATATTTTTATATGTGTTTTAAAAACAATTGCATTGTTTATATTTATGTATATGTTATTACTAAATATTGAAATTCTATATTTTTATTTAACTATACTTTGTAATAATTAATAATAATTAAACTTCTATTTTAAAAATTTGAACCTAATTGTAACTAACATTATCAAATTTTTTTTTTTAGAAGTTTGTATTCTAATGCTTTAACAAATTTTCCTGCTAAGGCTTTAGCACCGCTTGCAGGTTTATCTACTCTGTAAGATTTTTAAGACAATTTTTATAATACTCAAGTGTTTTTAAATTGTATTTACAAAACAAAAATGTAAACGTGTATATATAAATTTATAAATATATATATATATATATATATATATATATATATATATATATATATATATATATATATATATATATATATATACACATAATAAGCAAAATAGACATTAAAACATTTATAATATACTTAAGTTTTTCAAATTTCTATAGTTTTTCATTAATTGTTTTAGTTTAATATATGGCAATCAAATTGATGTTCTTCCTGTTGGTTGTCTTGATGATTTCACAAAAATGACAGTTTTGTTAGTGTTGTTTGCTTTTTCTTGCTGCTTGCTTTTTTTTTTTTTTTTTTTTTTGTATATTCTTTTGTACTTTTTTTTCATATACTTTGTTTTTTATATATTTTTTATAAATAATCTTTTAAATATATTTTTTTTAATCTAGTAAAATAGAAAACAATAAGATTAAAGTGCTAGAGAAGAACCTGTTTTACAACAATTCCCAACTTGATACCATGTGAGATTTATTATGAAAAACCTTTTTTTTTAAATAAACTTTATTCGACAGACTATTATTTAAAACAAACTTTACATATTTTACAATATTAAATTTAGAATAAATGATTGAAACTAATTAGATTTTAAAAAACATAATAAGTAATTATATTAACCTAATCTCTTGGTGTGTTTTTTTTAATTTACAATTATGATTTATGATTTTAACTTCTTATTTGTTATTTTTTGATTCTCAAATGCTTCTCAGCCTTTGGAAGCCAATAGTTAATTCCTTTGCTATCACTCTATTATAAAAATAGTTTCAAATTTCTATAACTGCTCTATTTGCTGTGAGTCAATTCATACAAAAAAAAATGCATTTTATTAAACATATTTTTCTTTATTAAGTAAAAATTGTTAAATAAATTTTTTATTCTTTTCTTTATTTTATTGTTTACACTTTTTTTGAACTTTTGCAATAAATAAATTTAAAAAAAATCTCTATATAACATAAAAGTCTTTTTTTTATTTTCCGTTTTTGTCTTGTCTAAATTATAACCATAAATAAGCAAAAGGTTAAAAATGGTTGACAGGTTTTATTTTTTATTTTAAAAATGGTTGACATGTTTTATTTTTTATTTTAACAATGGTTGAATGATTTATTTTTAATTTTAAAGTTTTTTAAAAAATTTTACTTAAACAAAACCCAGTATGTTTGAAGAATGTTCTAACAATCAAGTTCATAAAATTGTCTATTTATTCAGTGTTAAAAAAAAAAGTTCTTAGTGATGATTTTTTAGTCAGGAAAAGGAGTAGACATTGAAACAACTATTGATTAAAAGTAATGTTTTTAAGTAAGGTTTTACTTATAATTTATAACTAGTTTTTTCAAACTTTAGTAATTTATGGAACAACAATTTGCGTATTCTTGAAGATGGTTTGTTTACCTTTCGAAATCCTTCACCAAAGTTAAAATCATTGTAAGTTAAAAATATATATATATTTTTACAACTAAAAATGTTTTTGCTACCTTTTTTAAAGTTTTATACATTTTTCCTAATATTTGTTTATATTTAAATATATATAAATAATATGAACCAAAAAACATTGATAAGAGTCTAGTTGGACTCTCAAAGTGTAACATATGTAAGGATATTAACAAAAACAAGTTTCGTTTAACTCCACAGTGGGACAGAGATTTTGCTAAACTTTAAAAGTATATACCCTACAGTAAATATGTTGCTTAAATATTTTTATTTATGTTTTAAATATTTTTATTTATGCTTTAAATATTTTTATTTATGCTCTAAATATTTTTATTTTTGCTTTAAAAAATTTTATTTTTAAGAGTCCTGGGAATGTTATTAAGCCTGTTCATGTAAAAAATGTTGTCCTTTTTCCTTCAAAAACAAACCAAAAAAAAAATATTCATAAAATTAAATTATGAGTATTTTCACCTTTTTTAGTTTTCTTTAAATAAATTAAAACTTTATAGTCTCAATATAGTATCTGTTTTATTTAATTTTAACAAACAAAAAAAAGTCATGTTTTTTAAAATTTAAATGTGACATATATAATATATAGTTACTATAAAAATAATTAAATAATATATTCCCATATAATAATAAGGGAATAATAATATAACATATTCAGCTCTACTAATTACTTAAACTAATATATTCCACGCTACTAATAGAAAATTGTTAATTTGAGTTAATTTTTATTATTTTTATTTTTATGAATTTTCATTTTAACATTTTGAAATTTGCAAGCAATTTTATAATTTGTTAAACTGTTGACTTTAAACAGTTGTTTTACTAACTAATTAGTATAGTTACTATAAAAAGCTAAAGGTTTTTTTTTGCCTATATTTCCACACTATGGGAATAACTATTTCCACCCTATGGGAATAACTATTTCCACACTATGGGAATAACTATTTCCACACTATGGGAATAACTATTTCCACTCTATGGGAATAACTATTTCCACTCTATGGGAATAACTATTTCCACACTATGGGAATAACTATTTCCACACTATGGGAATAACTATTTCCACACTATGGGAATAACTATTTCCACACTATGGGAATAACTATTTCCACTCTATGGGAATAAGAATAACTTTTTTACAGTGTCTCAATATTGTAGATTGTTTTTTCTCATCAAAAATATCTTGAGCAGTGTTGCACTCATTAAAGTTTAGCTGTTACATATGACTCATTTTTCATTTGCATTCATTGGAACCACATGTTGTTAACTAATTCTAAATAATTAAATGTGATTTCAGAAACCACACGAAACAACAAAATTAATGTTATTTCACTCTATTAAGTTATGTGGTTTTCTTATTTAAATTTATTTCAGTTAATTATTGATTATGTTTTTAATTATCTAAAAAACTATTATTATAATTTTAAAAAATATTTTTATTTTTCAAATTGAAATTTTCATTATGAAAAATAAAAAAGTTACTTAAAAATTGTTTGAGGCTTTGGAAAAACTTAATAAAATCAATTAATACTCATACATATATCTAAGTTCTTCCCTTAGTTTAGGTATGACTTTTCAAAAAAATTAAAATAATGGAATCATGATGTTTATTTGCTTTATTGTGTTTAGTAATTATTTATATTAAATATAAACATATATATATATATATATATATATATATATATATATATATATATATATATATATATATATATATATATATATATATATATATATATATATATATATATATATATATATATATATATATATATATATATATATTAACTGTAACTAGTTGCTAAAGAAGAAAAAAAAAGGTGAAAACTTCATACTATTCCCCAAGCTTATGAAAAAACAAAGAAAAGAAAAAACAAGCATTGCTATCAAAAGAGAGGAGATGTTTTGCTCAATAATTTTGAAACTAAAAGATGAAAAAAAAATTTAACGATGATAAAGGAACATTAACATTTATACTATAGGCATTTTCTCCAAAATACTATTGGTTATGAAGTTTTCAATGTTGCATGTGTTTATCTCACTCTTCAAAATTAAGGCTGTGAAACAAAAACTGAAGAGATGGTTTTTGATGATTCAACATATGTATAATGGGGAGAAATCATTAGCATTAATCATGGACAGTTAAAACGATTACCACATAATTCACATTAGAGTAGTTAAAAAAAGATATATGTATACACAATTGTGAAATGCAAACTACTGATTATTCAGCTTTAAATAATATACTTATTTGTTGTACTTCACCTTATTGGTTGTTTTTTGTACAGGTAGTTTAAAATAATCAATGAATTTCTAAAAACTCTTTAAAAATCAATCCTTGTCTTTATAAACAAGGTAGAACTAGATTGGTCAACACATTCTACTTTGTGGTAATTCATTTGTGATTATTTGCAAATATTATTTACTTTGGCTAATAATTATAAAAATAAAGAACATAAAATGAGTTAAGTATAAGTTATGTAGAAGAATAATCATTATTTCTATGTTGAATTGTCCTTATTAAACTTTATATTAAAGACCACAAACCTCATATTAAATTTGGAAATTTCAAAATAAATGTTCCATTGATTTTTTTAATAATATAGTTTAGTATTGTTGTTGCATAAAAGTTTGAAAATAAAAATAAACCAAAAATCCACCCAAAAAGTGAAAATGAGTAGTAAAAATTTTTTAATCAAAAACTTAAAAGTTTCCAAATGACTGGAAAAGAGGAAGCTTGGTCAGTTTGAACTTCTCTATTAATCATTCTTGTCAAGGGCCAAATTTCTTAGTCAGTTTGAACTTCTCTATTAATCATTCTTGTCAAGGGCCAAATTTCTCAAAGTGTAGGTTCAATGAGGAAAATAGCTATCAAATTTTCAGTGTGTGAGCACACCAGAAATGTGGTTAGAATGGATCTTAAAGTAAAGTTAAAAGTCAGGATAAAGAATCACTTGGTTTGGTTTCTTGATGATATTTACCTAAAGGCTGCTATCAAGAAAAAGTGAAACAAGATGCCCTAAGACTATATTCAGACTACCTGTTCTAGGTTCTGGAGTTAACTTTAAACTTTGATTGACACTAAGGGATTTTTTGATAAACCAAAAAAAGTTTTATATGATTTTGTTTAGAAATATTAACTGTAATAGATTCTTTTTATCTGTATTACAATTTTTTTAACAATTTGAATAGATGATCTAATTATAAAATGCCACATTTTTAAAGATATTTTAATTAATTATTTTATTGAGTTGAATAAAAAAAAATATTACTGAATCAAATTATATAAAAATATGGTAAATGTCTTTCTAAAATATAGTAAATGTCTTTCAAAAAATAATAATTTATTAATCAAATTTGTGGTTGCATACCATAAAGGGAAGAGGATGCTAAAATAATTGTAATCCATTAAGTAAGAAAAAAGAATTATTGTACAACAAAAGATTAAAAATCACATAATTATTTGTAGATGTTCCAAAAAGCAGTGGTTTATTACGTCAAATGATAGAAATATCTACAAAATATTTTAAAGCTACAAAGTTTTCATCGAAATACTTGGCTTGAATTAAAATCCAATGAAATACTCCTATGTAACTTTTTATGTTTTATCAAATTAAGTCTGATGAACTTGAAAAATATAATTAAAAAAAAACTAAAGTTCTTTTGCCCATGCAAAGTACTGGTCTAAATGTGTCTTATGGGTATTTAGAAATAAAGTTACATTAATTTAAACAAGAATGTAAAAGTGCAGTATACAGAGTATGCAAAGGTGCAGTAAAATAATTTATTATAAATAAATTTGAACATTTAAAAAAAAAATTTTTCACAACAGATATACACTAAACTTTACTGCAGACCTTTATGCTTGTGCAAGCTGTGATATGCAAAAACAAAAAAAATTATTTAATACTTTGTTACATTTTCATAACTATTAAAAAAATACATTCAAAAAAGCAATGAAGTTTCTTTTCATCCATGGTTTCTAATGCCTCAAGGTGTATAGCAAATTTATAATTCTTAGTTTGTATGAAAGAAGCCAGGTCTTCTTTCTGAAAAAGCTCTGGAAGGTTTATAGTCATTAAAAATTAAGGAAACACTATACATAAACAATACACAAGAAGTTTTCAAAATATTTACTAATGAATATTTTATACAAAGATTGATGTGCAGTTCAGATCCACTTATGAGTTTCCTAAGAAAGAGTTTAGGATGTATTTAAGAACTTGACCTATACTTGACCGATTGTATTTGACTTTTGTTATACTTTTATTAATTTTTTTTAACTTTTTTCAACTTTTTTTTCACTCTAATTTCTGGTAAATTTTTTATAAATAATCGTTTCTTTGTTTTAAAATAAGGTCTATCATGTAACAATCATTTTAATTAATTTTTTGAATTTGCAAAACCCTGAAAAAAACTAAAAGTTATGTATGAAATCACAAATGCTCTACACACCTTTTTTGTATTAGGGTGTTAGTGTTTATTTAAAAAAAAAACTTATCTTCATGATGACAAGAGTTGCTGATAAAATTTCAATTTAAAACCTTTATACATGAAGTAGTTTTTTTTTTTTTTTGTCTATTTAATGTTGATCTTGGCCAACTGTGCACCCTTTAATAAACACCCTTTAATAAACACCCTTTTAACCTTTAGTAAAGTTTCTCTGAAATTTTAAAATAAAATTTTTCTTTTTAGTATAAAAAAACTAAAATGTATATAAGTTGTATCCATAAAATAAACTTTTTATTTAATAACTTATATAAATAAACTCTTTTAAAGATAAATGAAAGGTAAATAGAACTCTTTTATGAGATAAATTCTGATAAATGATAAAATTTTAAAACAAATTTTTGTTGTCGCGGCAACAATGAAAAAAAGATATCAGTTTTTTACTCGGAGCTTGATGAATTATTTTTCTCGGTTATTAAATATATAACTTACTTTTTATATATTTATATAACTTATATAACTTACTTTTTTACGTTACTTAGTTCTTGGTTATTAAACAGTTAAAATAAACAAAACAAAAATTTGAATAAAGTTTTAAGTTTAAAAAAATTTAAACTTATTTTAAAGTAAAATTATTGTAACTAAGAAATGTTACTTTTACAAATAGAAAATTGCAAAGTATTACCAGTTTATAAGTGTGGTGCCCAACACTCTTAAGTGTAGAGTCGAGCTTAAATAATTAAAAAAAGCAAAAAGTAACGGAATATGAAGTGTGTAGATCTACAATTTTCTGGAGAAGACCAAGCTTGACTCAGTGTTTCAGTTTTAGTTTTTAAAATAAACAAGAAAAAAAAAAGTCTGACTTTGCTGTTCTTGCTTTACTTTATATTTTTTGATGCAATCAGAAGAGTATTATTGACAATAAGCTTAATTTTTTTATTTCATAAAAAAAAAAAAAAAAATGTGAACACGAGTATTCCGCAAGGTTTAACTCAAAAATAAAAAAAGAGTTTTTCTTTATTTAGTTATCTTAAATTTTATCAAATGAGTTTGAAAAGCTCACAAGAAAAACTGATTTCTATAATCCAAAGAGTTTCTTATATTTTTCACTATATTTTTAAATCATTATATTTTTGCTGGTAACACTTTTTACTAATGCACTTACCATCACACCTGTAGACATCAGCAGTCTCTAAAATCAGTATATCAAATATTTGTTATTTTTTACATATGATCTACACACAGAGTGACTTGAGTGTTAATTTTTCTCCCCCTGCCCCCCTCCTCGAGCATTTAACTTTGTTCTTCACCTTCACAAAAGTCTTACCACTCATTTTAGAGGGAATTTTAGGAAATAGTTAAGAAACCTTTAATCCAATTGAGAAGATTCCTTTCAATTCCATTCTTTTTTTAGTTTATTTAAACTTTTAGTCTTTAGATCATTCAAAAGGTCAACTGGTAATTTTCTGGCCATGTTTACAGTCAAAATGCCTATTGTTTCAAGAAAATTAGTGATGCATGCTTTTTTCTCTACAAAATCATGTTGACAACTTTGAAAGAAGATTGTTTACTTTTAGATGCATCATGATTGCTTTTTTGAAAAATTTCTCCATTATTTTACACGAGATTGATGTAAAGGAGACTGGTCTGTAGTTTGCTGTATTTATTCTAGAAACTTTCTTGAACAAAGGCTTTACATTTGCTATAGACCACGAGCTTGGAATTTCACCATGTTTAAATGACTTTTTAGAGTTAAGAGTAGGACATAAGCAATTGTTTTTGTTTTTTTTCCTGGTTTTCTTCATTTTTATTTAATGGTATTGTACTACTCCTAACAAAAACTTACTTTAATGGATTTAGTTTGGCGCACACTTTTTGTAATTTTTTTTTAAATCTCCTTCATTTAGATATTAAGGGAAGTTGTCTTTTTTGTCGGTTTTAAGTCAAGCCTTGCTCTTTTTTAAGTCAATATTACTCTAAACTATAGTTTCTTTTTGTGCAGCTACTATTGTTTTTATCTTTTTCTTTTATCTTTTTCGCAAAAACAACTCTCTAAAAAGCAAACATTTTCTTGTTTTTAGTAACTGATGCAAAATGATGTTATTTAATGCTAACAGGGGGTCAAATATATTTAATTAAATAAAAATAAAGATAGTCTAGATAATTAGATACAAATACGTTAGTTCTACAAATTCATAATCATCGTAAATGTATGTATATATGTATGTATGTATGTATGTATGTATGTATGTATGTATGTATGTATGTATGGTATGTATCGTAAAGCTATTGATAAAATGGTATGCTAAATAAAAAAATGAATACAAATCTTTTAACAAAAATCACTTTTTTAAATCATTCCAGTGTTAAAAAAAAGAAAAAGATCAATTGCTACAACCAAAAATCTAAGATTTTAGATTACTAAATCTCATAACTATACTCTTAAGACATTTGGAAAATTTTTAACAATGACATTAAAGTTGTATATATATATATATATATATATATAATATATATATATATATATATATATATATATATATATATATATATCAAGTTCTGTTTTTCAATCATAATTTTTTTAGTGATGCTTCAGGTGGCGAAAACAATATTGAACATCTTCCGAAATTTACTCAGCTATTGCCTCTTTTAACAGATTTGTAAATAGTTTTTTAAAATATTTTTTTTATTATGTATTATGTATTAATAGCTTTAACCTTTATTTAAAAAAAAAAAAGTTCAACATATTCCTTTTTTATAAAGAGCATTATTTTTATTGATAGTTTCTTATAATACTTTTATTTTGAAATAAATTTTTGTATTAGCTTTTATTTGCAATACTTTTATAAAATTGTTTATTTAAATTATTCATGTAAAACTCCATAGTTTATAATTAAACGTTAATTTCCAGAAAGTTACGTGGTGTTGAAACAGTTGAACCCGATGTCTTTGGAACAAATTTACCTCTTTTGTTTAATTTGTAAGTTAAAATATACAAAATTTTGTTTACTTTTATTATAAAAAAGTTTAAATTTAAAAACAGTATTCTGCTACTTTTTCTTGCATATATGATAAATAAATATATAAAACGTTACTAAATTTTGTATAAGTTTTAACTAATAAAAATCTTTGTTTTTTTTTTTAGTCAATTAAATACACAAAAACTTCAATGTGACTGCAATTGGTATTCAACTCTTATGAACTTTTTAAATAGAAATGTTGCAAACCCAAAACCTGGTACTCCTAGAATACCTATTGATGCTACTTGCATCGCACCAGCAAAATTGAATAAAAACCCAACTAACTCCAAATCAGATATTGAACCTTTAAAAGAACATTTTATTTGCAGTGAGTCTTTTATAAATACTAATTCAGTTTTGTATATCTTACTTTAGTGTTCAAAATATGAAAGATTTTATTATATTTTCTTCACATAACAAATGTCAAATAAATTAAAAAAAAAAATCAAAAAAATTAATCTGATACAATTCTAATTTAACTGACTGGGTTTGATATAAATAATGGTTAATAGAATATTAATATTAAGATATTGGTTAATAGAATATTAATAATAATAATACTAATAGATTTGGATTAATAAAATAGCATTCTTTGCATCTAATTGTTTACATCATTTTGGTAACAAATTATAAGACAATTTAAGTTTTCTTTATTTTGTAAAATATATATAATGTATCATATTTATTAATATAATATACAATATATATATATATATATATATTTTTTTTTTTTTCCTGATATATATATATATATATATATATATATATATATATATATATATATATATATATTTATATATATATATATATATATATATATATATATATATATATATATATATATATATATATATATATATATATATATATATATATATATTAGGGTGCTCTAGAAATGTAAAGTGAAAATTTTTTTTTCTCAAAATCTTGTTTCCTGTTCATTTTCCCATACCCTTATCTATTTTAGAAAAAGTAAACAAATTTCAGGCTATTTAGTAGTGCTTAAGCCTCGTCACAAGCTCCCAAAAAGTTAATAGTTTGAAAAGTCTTTTTATGTAAATTTACGATATGTTATGTTTACGTACGTTACGTAAATTTGACACAAATTTTAACATAAATGATACAAAATAATTATAATATGAATATAGTGTAAATTAATAAAAAAATAAAAATAAATAATTTATAAATAGTAATTTTTATTTGATAATTAATTAATACTTTAATAAGTATATTATCTTTAATAATATATTTTTATAATATCTTTCTTAAATTCTATAATTTATTTTTATTTTCATGTTATCAAAGATTATCAAAGATATTAGATGAAACTAAATTTTAAGTATTGCACTTTTTTACTTGGACGCTACTCATCGCTTTAACCTAATTATGGATTGACCAGTTTTAAAAAAAGATACTGATATCTGTTTATTAGAAAAACCATTAACTCAATTGTTACCATCAAGAATTCCATCAAAGGGAGATATCCTGCATTTCTTTTTCTTTATAAAAGATGAACCCATGAAACATGCTAAACATGTCAACTGAAATGGTGCTATAGCAAACACAGTTATTGCAGAAATTCAAAATCAATTGGATAAAGCTGGTATTGCAGTTAAACACAAAGACAAGGTTAAAGCAAAACTTTGGGATTTGTATGATGCTTATAGAACACTTCAAAAGAAGAAAGGATGTCAATCTAATAAAACTGTTTGTTGATAATCTGAAAAATTATTTTTATATTACTCACCAAGATACTCAAAACAAAATAGATACTTATTGACTTCATGATAGTGAGCAGAAAAAAGAAGATATTGAATTTCTTATGGCAGTTAGAGATCAGAAGAAAATTATTTTGGGATCAGAAGACCGAGCATAAAAAAGGAAAATTACACACAAAATACAGAGAGAGAGAATTAAAATGACAGGAATAATGGTTAAAGAAAAAAGAAGACAAACAACAACAAGCACAAAACCTGAAACTATATGTCCTGAAGTAAACTTGCAATCTGCAGATGACTCCAGTGTTACAGTTACACGCAGTTCAGACAATTCTGAAGATGAAGATTTTGAAAACTCACATAAATCTGCTACAAAACTAAAAAATATTCAACCTGATAAAAACAGAGTAATAATAGGCTTTTTCACGCAATCCATTCAAAAGTGAAAAAGTTTCAGCAATGGCAGATTGCTTAAATTTATCAGCTGGTAAAAGAACAGTTTTCATGGCAGCTATAATTTCAGAGGGTGGTGCTAATTTGCAGTGTGTGACTTTATCAAAAACAAGCAGCAGAACAGCGGCTAAAAAACTTTGAATAAAATATGGGGATGTGATTGAAACTACATTTGTTTCTCCAAAGAATCAGTCAATTAAATTGTATTTTTTAAAAAACAATAAAGTTTAATTAGTTTACTCAATTAAATTTAATGGTTTTTATAGTATAAAGTGTACTTTATACTATAAAATTTTGTCAGTTCAAAGAGTTGTTAAAAACTGTTTTTTTAACAAATGGTAAGTTTAATCTAGACAAATATATATTTCTATAGTTTAAACTTACTTTAAATTTAAGTTATAAAACTGTATATATATATATATATATATATATATATATATATATATATATATATATATATATATATATATATATAGATATATATATATATATATATTCCATATTGTATATGTATATATATATATATATATATATATATTCCATATTGTATATGTATATATATATATATATATATACATATATAATATGGAATATATATATATATATATATATATAATATATATATATATATATATATATATATACATATACAATATGTCTCGCTCTCGATTGCTGACCATGTAAATAGTATTTAGTTGCAAAAACTGGCCAGATTTTTTAGTCGTTTTGAGAACATTTCAAAAAGCAAAAAAAAAAAGCGCAAAAGATTAATTGGACCGATGAGAGACAATTACAAAAAAAAAAAAAAATAGGCAAATAAATATCTTTAAACGCAAAAAAACTCAATGCTAAATAAATTACGTTTATAACAAGTATTTTCGCAACATCGCTCTTTTATAATTTTTTTTTATAAAATTAGGCGATGTTTTTTATATAAAGTAACATCTTACGATTGTTTAAAAAGGAAAAAAAATATTCTTTATTAAACAAAGTTTACAAGTTTAGGTGTTATTTAAGCTAAATTATTTTATAAATAAAAAAGTTATATTTTTTAATACCTATTTTATGTTTCGCGCAGTTTGAAAAGTTCAACATATTTGAAGCAATTATTCTTAGTAAGATAAACAAATGAAATAATTAAATCATTGAATTACTATAGAAATCAAATTAACAAGATAAAAATCAACTAAAAAGGTTAAAAATACTTTATGACAAGGAAGCAAAACTGCTTCACAATATCGCTGATGTTTAGTGAGTGGGCTTTTTAATTTTAATTAGTATTTGAAGCAGAAAAAAGTATAACAAGTTTTTAAGAATGGCAACTGAAGCGAAAATAATTAGAGTTAGTAAACCAATATCTAGAAACTTTTCTTTATATCTAATTTTTGCTATATATATTTGTGTTCTGTTGTGACCTCAGGCGCAGTGCTTGTTCAATGCATACTTTGTATGCGTTGTTTTTGTTTAGTAACCAGAAACTTCTTATATGTTTGTTACATAATTAGTTTTATTAACATTAACGATTATAACTTCATTGAAAATACAATTATTTTTGTAAGTCTTTGTTTAAATCATAAAAATTGCTTTAAAAGATACATTACGATAAAAAACAGATACACAAAATAACATTTACAAAAAGAATTCATACTTTTTAAATAAAAAATTAGAATATACTGATAAAATCAATAATTTATAATAAACTTTTAAAATTTTGACAATTTAATTAATATATATTTAAAACATTTATTTTTGTAAACAAACAATATACAATTTATGCTAGAAATCTCAAAACGTAACAAATCGTGAATTAAAACATTTCAACAGAATGCCCTACAACTTTATTTCGCTTAGTCAGTGTATTTTTTGAACCAATAGAATTAGTTTGTTCGTTAATTTTGCGGGTATTTAATGTTCGCGAATGTTCTTTTTATTCTTTTGCACAAAGATGTTTTGAGAACATTTAAGTTTTTTATGTTTCCATGTATGGTCGTAAAACAAAAATTTTTTGTTTCGTAAATAAACTTAATTGTTCTCAAATCGACTAAAAAACCTGGCCAGTTTTTTGCAACTAAATATAATTTCTGTTTTCAGTATTCAAGAGCGATCGCTCTTATATATAATATATATATTT